TGATTTAAATGAGATAAATCTACTTGATTCGATACTGTCACCTGTTCTGCACACATGCCCTTAAAGCTTTCTAGAAAATCATTTTTCAAAGTGCTTTGCTTTTCATTTTGACTACTTGGTTCGTCTCGACGCAAAAACTTCGTGCCTTCTTTTGTGACTTTCATGTCGACTGTATCAAGAATAGTTCTGCCTAGGATGGCGTCAAAGCCCATGTCCTGATCTGGGATCACGTGGAACTCCACCTCCATGTGCAGGCTGTCTATCTCAACAGGTATGGTGATACTGCCAAACGTCCACACCTGACTCTCTCCGATTCCGGTCAAGCATTTCTCCTTTCCAGTATGGAACTTGCTGCCAAGTTTGAGGAAAATGTTTCTGCGCATCAAGCATAGATCTGCCCCTGTGTCCACGAGTCCTTTAAATTGAACAACAGCATGTTTGACAACTTTTAGTTCAAGCCCAGAAGCTGTAAACTCGCTATTTGGCTTTAAGGCTGCGTTCTCCACGTGAACGGTGTTAGCGTTACTCTCCTTTTTTACCTCGACTTCGACCTTACACTGCGCAGCTCGATGACCTGGCTGTCCGCAACGATAACAATTATTATTGTCCTTCTTCTTGCAATCTCTCTTAAAGTGGGACGGGTCACCGCACTTAAAGCATTTGCGCACCAACTCTGGTCTCGACTCAAAACTTTTGGAGCCATCCACCTCAGCTAAACGCTGTTCGTTTTTAAAAGGTACCTTGTACGTGCCACGAATTTTCTTGTACACTTCGATCTGCTCCTTGAGGTCCTTGATTGTTTTGGCCTGGTACAACATTATCTTATTCGCCTTGGCGTCTGGGATCCCTTTTACGAAATATTCGATCAAACTGCCCTCATCTAATCTAACTGGCTTCGAAATTTCCATTAATGCGTACAAATATTCCTGTAGTGTTTCCCCTTTCCTTTGTACACGCTGATCTAACTTGCGATGCACCTCAGCAGATGATATTTTAACGGAAAACTCCCCGCGCAAAGCTGCCTTAAGAGAATCCCAGTCGCGAATGTTTACTTGACTGCGAATGAACGACTTAGCTGCCCCACTTAGTAACTGTTTCGAGTAAATGAATAGTTGGAGCTGACTCCACTGCACAGTTAAAGCACATTCCTCCAACTCCTGTATCCAGTGTTCTATATCTGGGCTAGTTGTACCTGCAAAATTCGACACACTGCCTTCTACATCTTTAAGGGTAAACAAAGATCGGCTAACAGGCATTGGCTCCACGGGACAATCGCGAGCGGTTACGACAGATTCGACTTCATCCTCATCGTTAACGTCGTCGTCGTCCTCGATACCAAAATGTGCTAACATAATTTCCTCAAGCTGCATTATGATAATTAATTTTAAGGTTAACAATAACAATTTCTTGATGTTCAGGTTTTCTACTTTACAGGTTTTCTACATACAGTCTGCTGCTTGCTTGCCCTGCTTTAAAGCTTCTGATTTCCAATTGGATCTTCGTCTCCTTCGATCGCCTTCTTCGTCTTCTTCTCCTTCGCTCGTCTTTTTATCCTTCGCCTTCTCCTTGTCCGCCTGCTTTACCGCCTCCTTCTCCGCCTGCTTTACCGCCTCCTTCTCCGTCCGCTTTACCGCCTCCTTCTCCGCCTGCTTTACCGCCTCCTTCTCCGTTTGCTTTACCGCCTCCTTCTCCGCCTGCTTTACCGCCTCCTTCTCCGCCTAGAAGTTGCAGTACATACACATACTCCCAGATGGATACATAAATTCCTCTGCAGCGAGACGTGTGTACGTGTGTATGTATGCTTTTTTCTTCGCTCCGCTGGTCGTCGCTCACGTTCTCCACCTCCTTGCACTTTATGTTTGGGTCAAATCCCGGTTGAGCCCCCAAAATTGTAGGATATTATTTATTCGCATACAATTAATTTAATTTTCGGTTTTGATTTTAACAAAAAGTGCTTAGATTATTGTTCACAAAATTATTGATCTTTCCTCTTTCAATGCTCAACGACGACTCTGCTTCATTCCACAGGAATCGGTGATCTTAAAAATATCGATTATAAGTATATTAATTAAGAGTTGCCATATAGCTCAACCCGCTTCGAGTGTGCCGTGGAGGAAGCCCGCCTGTTTCAAATCCCACATAAATAAATTATTAATACAAATAGCCAAAAGACTTAATATTATAAAATGCCTTTCCAGCACAAGCTTCAACAGCTCTTATTAAAACGATAATTTTTGTAATTAACTCAATTATTATGTCTAAAATCGACCTATACGGAAGAGCACCAAAATCAAATCTAATCAAAATAAAAATAATTTACCACTCAGCTATTAGAATAGCATTCAGAGCCTTTCGCTCCTCACAATCCATAACCTAATCTACGAGTCCAACATCAAACCAATACTCCTAGACCCAGTCCCCATAACAAAAAAATCCAACGTGGTGCTTCACGCTTCTAAATTAAAAGAAAAATTCGCTATATGCACCGACTCACTCTCTGCGCAGGCAGCACTAAAAAACCCCAATAACCATACGTTTTACACACAAGAAATTATAAAAACTATCTCCAAATATATAAACAAATTCTCCCTGATATGGGTCCCAGGACACTACAAAATTTCCGGAAACAAACTTGCAGACCAAGCTGCTACGGAAGATACTAAACAACACATCAGATATTCTTAACTACATTAGCAATGTATTTAAATCAATTTGATTTAACCTGGGACCACACATCCCTACACTATAAACTCATTAACCCAAAAAAACAGAATGAAATCGACCTCTAAGGCGCAACAGCTTCTCGAATGGACATCATCAAATTTATGACTCTTCGTATCGGACACACTAAATTGAGACATAGGTAGCTACCTATTTGACAAAAGCCCACCTCCTACATGTCAACACAGCAATCAAAATCTTACCCTAACTCACATACTCGTATTCCTAAAATCTCTACGTTGAAACTTCTCCAAAACACCCTAGAAGATATATAAAACTTAAAAAATTTAGAAGAAACTTTCGAATTTATCAAATCCATCCACCTGTACAATACTATATAATATTATATTACACTGGTCGGCATATATATTTTGACAATAATAAAAGTGAAATATACTCGAAACTTGAACTTGCATCTTTTAACTTTTGGTATCAATGGAAAGGTAATTTAAATGCCGTTTGAATGATACCATACTTTTCTTAAGGGGTTATATCCAGTTGCGAGGCCAAAAAAATGAGCTTTTTTGAAAATTATTTTTGGAAAGGCTATTTATTGTATGAATACGTAATATATATGAAAAGATAGGTCATTATTTCTAGTTTTAGAATATATTTAAAAAAAAAAAAAATTTTGGACTCCGTCGGTCCTGTAGAGGATCTCCCGAGGGTCCACTTCAAAAAAGGTTTTGCGGTGAGCAAAATATCTCCGGTCCAAATTATCTGAAATGCAAAAAACCAAAAGGATTACGTAAAGAATAGACAAATGCTGGTAATGAGACTTGGGATTTTCAAAATTTTGATTTTTGACAAAATGGCGGCTTCCCAAACATAAAACTTTGTTTTTGGCACAAAAATTTCAACTTTGAAGTGGCTAAAAAAATCGAAGTTTTTGTCGGAGCCAAAATTCCAAGTTTCATTACCTGAAAAAAATATCTAAGAAGAGAATGTGAAAGTTTCAAGTCAATCGGACAAGCCGTCTCTGAGAAATTTTGCTCACCGACTTTGAAGACATAGTTTCGAGAAAAACGCACTTAAAGTTTTGGCTACTAGTTTAACTACATGGGAGGCGTCTTTACAAATACACTGATTACTCCAATACTATTTACCGGAATACTTTGAAAATTTCAGACAATCTTCTTAGATATATATACATTCAAAATAGGCAAAAAAAAAAATTCGATTTTTTCAAAATCGCAACTGGATATAACCCCTTAACTCATTCGATATTTATTGAAATGTTATTGTTATATATTTGTTGAGTTATTTGTAAATCTTTTACTAGATATCAAAACATTATAAACTGCTTAGAGTAATATAAAGAATTTTTTTTTAATATTCGAAACCGTATGTTTCTCTTTAACCTGCTCGTTTAAGTCGAATATACTTACTATATTCTGATTCTATTCTATATTCTATAATTAACAAATAAAAGGGCAGTTTTCCGTTTTCCGCTAGTTCTTTTAAATGCCCTGAAGTATAGTTATGCATCGTTACACATAATTATTGCTTAGCTTTTTTTTCGTTTTTTTCCGTTTGACAGAGCATATGAATAGAAAGTACTGCGGGAACACAAATGTACTAGTGTCTTTCTTGTGACTACCTTTCTGTGACTAGAAGAGTTAAAATCAAATTATGAGCCGGTTTTATTACTTTATTAATTTAGCGGTGCCGTTATTTTTTTTGTATATGTTTCTGTTTGTGAAATACAAGTTGATTCAAATATTAATGATGTACTGAATAGCCATTTAATGCCGATTAACCTTTTTGGACTATGTATTAAATGTAATCATGTTAAACAATTGGGCTTCGGTTTTAATGCTGTTTTACACATTTTGGCTTATCATAGGTAAATTTAATAATACAAATTATTTTTTTCGGTGTTTGAAATGTTTGATCCCTTTTTTAGAAATATGATGCACAGCTTTTTGATATCTAATTATATTTCGAAAGAAATTTTAAGCTTAAACAGCGTTATTAAAATGAAATCTTTAAATAAAAAACAGAGCAAGTCGCGGCGAAGTACACATATCGAAAAAAATTCCTTTAATAGGATACCAAATTGGCCAAATGAATCAGATGAAATATTTTTGTTTAACGGATCTTCACAGTACACATCATGGCTAAAAAGGTATACCTAATAAATAAATTCAAAAAGTAATATAAATATTATATAATATGTAATATATAGTTAGGTATATAATATACTAGCAAACCCGGCGAACTTTGTTCTGCCTTTTTTTGGAAAAAATTACAAAAATAATCAAAAACCTACATTAATATTTAATTTTTATTTCTGTATTTTGGTACATAGGCGTCGATCAAGTTGTTCTTCCATGTTTCATTGCTTAATGATACATCTGCTGAAGATTTCTCGAAGCAATTGCTGACTATCGGCAATGGTCAAGTACCTGTCGATGAATCGAGCGGATTAATATCATTTCGAAATAATTTTTGTAATTTTGTCTCATCAAAAAAGGAACTTATCAACAATGTATTTGCAAACATTATTTCTAACTACAAAAATAAGGAATGGTTGAGTGAGAGAGCCATTTTAGCGGCTAAGAATAAAGATGTTGATGACCTGAACTACATAATTCAAAATAAGATCATTGGAACAATGCATTCATTCAAATCTATTGACTGAGTCACAAATGAAGATGAAGCCACCAACTATCCAATTAAATTTTTTAACTCTTTGGACGTGCCTGGCTTACCACTGCATAATTTACATCTAAAGGTTGGATCCGTAGTAAACATACTTCGAAACATAAACCAACCAAAATTGTGCAACGGTATGCGTTAATGGCAATAAATAAGCAGATTTTTTTTTTTATAGGAAAAAAATTACAAAAAAAATTAAAAACCTACTAAATAGGTTGCTCTTCACTTAAGTGCCTTGTAATACACGACATTTTTTGTTTTGACAGTTCGACCGTTGTCATCTGGTGATCGACGCCGATACAGCGGATAACCATCATTGCCAGTGACAGTCTCCGCCGTTAATTTCCGTGGATATCGTTTTGAGCACTTACCATTGACCATGCAAGGCGATTGGGGATTGATGGCACCACACGGTCCATGAATCATATTTGTAGTAATAACGTCATGTAGGTCTGGATCGACTTCATAATCAGGAATCTCGGCACATATGATATCATCTATTTGGTCAGGTTGAATTCTTTCCACTAACCAAATAAGAATGTGTGCGTGCGGCAGGCCTCGCTTTTGCCATTCGATTGAATACATCCAGCATCGAGTATCTCCAAAGACGCGTTGTTTAACAATAAAGTTCTTCAGAGACCGAATTTTTTGCCTGAAAATACGTGCTGTGATGTCGGGTCTATCATTTGATGTTTGTCCAGGAAGCAGCAATTGAGTAATTTCTATCCATTTTGGATTACAGGTAAAAGTAATAAAAAGATCTGGCCGACCGTAATGACGAACATATGTCATTGCATCTTGTGCATATTCATGCATATGACGTGGACTACCAATGTACGTCGCTGGCAGAATAGTTAGTCGCCCAATATTAGCTGCATTTTCTTCAGTACTAACTGCATCACGTAAATGGATGTACTCCTCAGAACGCAGTTTGGATTGGTTCAACCTAATGAATGTTAAACGTTCAGTTTCTATTTTTACATACATGTCAACGCAGTACTGCTGAAACAATCGACGAAACCGCAGCAAATAGTTGTCAGTATTTTGACGAATCATCAAACGATATGCGTAGTAATTCATTGAGCTTACTTTCTTTGTAGTTTCTTCACCTGAAATTAAAAATTTTATAATTAACCATTTCAAATGCAAATTTTAAAGGCAAAGAATACACCATTAGCCATTTTTTTTAATAAGCATTATTTTAAATCAGTGTCTTTTAAAAATAAATGAAATAAATTATGATACTAATACTCACCATTCAATGGATTAATCATTTTAATATTAAAATAATATCCATCTTCTCCTTGCCAAAACATTAGCGGGTATTGCAACGCGTCATATGATCGATGAGTTTCAGATATTTGTTGCAGTTGCCCAGTATCGCGACGTTTAAGCACAATATCGCGGTTTCCAAATTGTTCACCAACAATCAGGATGGCGACTTCGTCTATTGTTGGAGCATTAAATGTCCTTTCGTGTGTTCCAGATGGTCGTTTATCTGCTTTTATGACAACTTTATAGTCATCATTTGGCATGCGCTCTAAAGCACTCTTAAACAACCTGACCATCGCATGATGTTCATGAAGCAGACACTGCATGTCTTGAAGAATTGCTCGCTTCATCCCTTCATTGATCGCTAGACGTCGATCAAGTTGTTCTTCCATGTTGCCCATGAAATATATTTGTAAAAATTTTTTTTGTGTATCTTCGAAAGGTAGTAATGATCCAATTCGATGGTGAATCTGCCCTTGTATCTAAGATAAAGTAAGTTATTCTTTAACTATATTCTATGTAATACAAACAAAAAAAAAACCTTAAATGTCGGATTAAATCCTCGTTCTTCGATAATATCTGCCCCAAATGACGTCATTTGGAAACAACCATTGTATTTTCGGGTATTTGCAAGAAAGTGGCGTGATTCTTGTGTTTCACCACAAAGCAACGAATACAATGGCTCAGGTGGCGGAGTCAACAATGGCAATTTAACTTTACCATTAAAGCAGCATAATCCAGGCGTTTCTCCGGAAAACTTCAGTGCACCGCAATACTCGCAAACAACGTCCATTTGCCCAATGCAAACGCTAGGATGCAAGCTGTAATCAGTGATGCAATCGTATTGAAACGCTGCTCGATTCAAATCAGCACTTGATAAATTTCTTCTGCGTCGCAAATGATCTATTTCTTGACCTCTGTTGTAAGCTCGACGATTCTGCATTGTCAACCGAGCCGTATTACGGATTGCCTCTCTTTGCTCTGCTGATTGAGAAGCACGAAGTCGACCAATTCTAACGCGGTTCTGTTCACGTTCAATGTTTTGTTCTTCTTCAGACCTTCCATTTGCAGTATTTTGTAGTCTTCTTGCATTACGGCTTTGTCGGGAAAGATTCGATCGTCTTGGTCGCGGCATTATTAATTAAACTTCCCTTCACTTCAATTCACAAAAAGCACGAAAAACTTCACTTCACTTCAATTCACCAAAATCACAAATAATTTCTACTCACTTTAAAAAAATTGAGTTAAAATGCTATGGTAGTGTGTGCTTGTCAGTTTGATGAGGTAATAACTCAGTTTATACGCGATTTTTGGTATGTCGAACGGAATAAAAAGTACCCTAACTCCTATTCCGGGCTCTAAGCTACCTTCCTACCAATTTTCAGCCAAATCTGTTCAGCCGTTCTTAAGTTATAAGTGGTGGAACTAACACAACTTGCTTTTATATATATAGAGATAAGAGATATAATAGTTTTCAACGCAGTAAAGGAGACACCTCAGACCCCGTAAAGTATATATATTCTTGATCAGCATCACGATCTGAATCGAAAAACGTTATATTACGCATTATATAAGTCGGATCGGGCGACTATATAGGATAGCTCCAATACGAGAGATTAAAAAAAAATTCTCATTCCGTTGTTTTTGATCAGATCGACTTGATGTCTTCCAGATGGTGATTTTTAACCACTATCGAATTTCGGATTAAATTTGGATATCGGATAACTCTATCATATAGCTGCCATAGGAAAGATCGAATAATATATATATAAATAATGTCAAAAAAATTATAACGTCGTTGCTTTTTATTGCATGACAACTATATCATACAGCTACCATAGGATAAATCGAAAAAACTATATAGATTTAACGGAAATGAAATGATAACAACTTTTTTTCATCAGACCTTGGAACTTATACTTTTTTAACGACTCTTGAATTTTTAATCAAATCTCATAAAAATCGAACGACTATTTCATATAGATGTCATATAAAAGTCGTCGAAAATATGGAAAGTAAATAGAAAAATCATCATAGACTCGATGTTGTTTAGCCTTTATGTATTTTGTTCGGCATATTTGACGAATGCAGTGGTATATAAGCCTTGGCTGGGCGAAGTAAGCTTCCTCTATTGTTTTAAGTATGATTAAATAAAAAAATTCATAAGCTCGCATTTAAACCATATAGCTGGCATCGAAAAATCTATATATGTCTACATATTAAGGGGTTATATACCTTTTTCAGACTCAAAAATGAAAAAAATTTTATGATTTTTTTTTATGTACATACTTTCAACAATTTGTCTGCAAAATTTTTTAGAGATCGGGGCACTAGAACCTAAGATACAGCCGTTCATAGCGCACGGTGTACGGACTACCTAATGTCCACCTAAAACTTTAAACACGTTTATCTCGGAATCGCATTTTTGAGAAGAGGTCATTGCGGTGAGCACGATATCTAGGTAACCTCGATTTGAAATTTTGGGGGATTGTTTGTAGATACAATAGCTAGTTCGTGAACGAAGGAATTTTATTTTCGACAAATTTTTCTATTTTTTTGGGGCGAAAAACTAAATTATTAGACCTCGAAAATTCGGTTTTTTTGAAAAAATAATCACTGTAACTGTAAAAATTTTTTTTCGTAAAATCCTTCGTTCACGAACTAGGTAACACTATATACTAACGTAGTTTTTTTTTTTTTTCTGTTGAGCCGTTTTCTTGTTTTCATGCTCACCGTTAGCCACATTTGAAAAAAGGACTTCTGCGGCAAGGACTATAACTTCCACAGTTATGAAAATTTTCACTCGAAACTTTATACGAATTAACTTAAGGACATGTACTTTGATAAAATTTTTATTGTATTTAAATAAAACAACGGTAACATGCTAAAAAAAAAAAATAAAAACCCTGTATTTCTCTGGTGAAAAAGGTATATAGGTAACCCTTTAAAAGTAAAATCCAAAATAAATTGTTTATTTCAATGAACAATAATAAAGTTCTAACCGATAAATATACTAATATTATAAAGAGGTAAAATTTGTTTGTTTGTTTGCAACGAATAGGCTTCGGAACTACTGGTCCGACTTAAAAAATTCTTTCAACGATAGAAAGATACATTATCGTGGAGTAAAATAGGCTATAACTTATTTTGAAAAAAATTAGGGATCCGTAAGAAAATTGCAATATTGTCGCAAATAAAGTGATTTGCTACCTCGTCACACTGAAAAACAAGCTACCATTGCATTTTAACTCAATTTTTATGGTTTTCATTTATCATTTCCAAGTGAATTAAGTTTTTTCACATATTATGCAAACCTTAGTGTTCTCTGCTCAGTTAATTTCATGGACAAACGGGTAATGTGTTCACTGTGAAATTGTGAAAAAAAAGAATTTTTATTCAATTTAAGTTGAACTGTGAAAATGGAGATCATTGGCATCATTCAATCGCTTGGCATTCCAATATAACCCACTGCGAACTACAGTGATAATGAAAATTTAGATATTGGACCAATGGCGACTATATACCGATATTGCAGTGCGTTAATATATTTGAAAAGTTTAAAAGAGAAACGGCTGAATTGAGCTGCGCAAGTGGAAAAGTGTTAAATCACCATCTTTCTATACTTCCATATATTTGAAAAATTTTGCAACATAGACTATTATGTTGTTAAATTGTGTTGACCAGCGAAGCGGGCACAGGACCTCTAGTGTTATATAAAGATATAAAGATGGAAGGTTTGGAGGATTTTTTGTTTGTTTTAATTGAATAGGCTCCGAAGCTACTGACTGAACAGATTTGAATATTTCTTTCACTGTTGGAAAGCTACATTTTTCTTGAGTGGCATAAGGTATACTACAGTTCGTTTCATTTGGATAGGACACCTAGCAACTTTTATGGTTAATCGCTCGTAGCGATGACAAAAATCGTTAAAAGCTAAAATTTTTTTTGAGTTATAATCTCTGTTCTATTGTGATTCTAAAATGCAGTTACATTTTTTCATTATTGCTTTCCCCACTTTTTTTATTTGAGTTTTTGCACTTATCAATAAACTTCCCTAAATCGCGTAGGCTGCGAAAACTATTTCGTAAATACAGTGGAATCCTGTTATAACGACTCCGCTTATAGTGTCCGTCCGGGTTGTGGGACGAAAACTCGATGGTTTGGTTGGTCCCCATACAAACTTATATGAAAGGGCCTCCGCTTAGAGCGTTTCCGCTTTTAGCGACAAACCGCTTATATGAACGAAATTTTTCAAGAAAATTGAAAAATTTAACCGGATATTGCGTCGTGCAGAAAAAAAATACATTGCAATAGTGCCAAATTTAAGCATTAAAACACGCTGATTGAAATGTATGTATTTATTAGTGAACGGCACCTTTGCTTGTGTGCGTAGCAGCGACACGAAGGATCTTACACTGTCACTACTCTTTGTTAGTTTTAGCTGTCGCCTTAAGAACGTTGCTGCGAGAGAGAGAGAGAGAGAGAGAGAGTCGAAGTGCAATGCCGACGTCACACTGCGTGTGCAGACCTTATATCCTATTCCATGAGATGTCCCGTTATATTTCTAGTTTTTTCTGCTTTTTTCCGAGTAAAACTTAAAGCGTAAATTCGGCAAATGCAAAATATGCAATAATAAGCTCACTTAGTTTTTAGTATTGTGAGAAACCCATGCCTTTGAATTAAATTTATTAAATTTTTCGTTTTAATTAAAAAAACTAATTTGATTTATTTTAAGAACCTATTACGAAGACGGCAACCATAAATAAACAAAAAAAAAAAAGTGTTTTTTGTTCCTTTTGCTTAGTGCGTCTTCCGGGTATAA